CGTCGCCCCCTGCTGGTCATGATGATGATTTCAGGGTTGAGGCGTGTGCTACGCTTCTTCTACTTCCAAAAAACTCAGCAGCCATGACGGCTGTCTCCAGCTCGTGTTCTCACTTCATTCAGTTTGAGAAACTCAAGGAGTTTTTAAAAGAGCCTCGTTTTGCACAGAATCACAGAAACATGGACGCTCAAAGCTCACATGTCATACCTGGACTGATCCCACTCCACTCTCACCACATCCATCATGGATGACTGCAGCCTGTCAGACACATCCTTTACATCACCAAGAACTTTTTATAGCGTCGCCGGGAACCCAAAGAAGTCAAATCGTTGTGGCTGGAGCCGCCGACCCCTCAGACCCCCCTTCTCATGGTAAACATCCCGAAGGATGCGCAGCAGCGAGTCCGTGCAGATTACAGCCTGTGGAAGACCGGACTCTCCAACGATCATATGATCTCATCTGAAGAGAAACGAGAATGAAAACACCGAGCCTCAGGTCCAACACACACACACACACACACACACACACACACACACACACACACACACACAGCTCTGTTTCCAGCATATGTCCAATAAAAGATGTCAAATCTTTTTGTTTTAAGGTGAATCTCTTGATTTCCTTCACAACCTTTCTTTACGACCAGAGCTGAATATGATTTCACATCTACACACAACAACACAACAACACTAATAATATAATAAAATTATTATTATTATTATTATTATTATTATTATTATTATTATTATTATTATTATTATTATTAATAATAATAATAATAATAATAATAATAAAAAAATATTAAATACATCAACAAGAGAAGCAGGAAGAAGCACACTGTTACTTCCTGTTTGTTTTCATAAATCTGTTTTGTGCTGCGTTTGTTTTGTTGACATATTTATTCATGTATATTTACACATACATAGAAACAAATACGTAGAAGCACATGCTCTTTCTTGCATCTATTTTTGTACCAGTTTTCCATCTGAGTCATGTTTCAGTTCATCGCTGATCAGCATAAAGCTCGAGCATCTACATAAGTTGAATGTTATTTTATATTTTGTCATATATTTTAAGGCCTCGCTGTGCTGGAGCACATGGATGGAGCACAAACAGCACAAACAGCAGACGGCGTGACGGAGCTGTGAGGTCACTGCTGGTCATAAACAAGAGCTAGAGTCCCCAACTGTCCACAGTTCACCTGCAGAGTGACATCATGAGTGGATTTTATGGATGGACCTGAAGACATCTGTCCGGGCAGCTCGTCTTCTGCAGTCCTTGAGTCTGCACGCTTACAGCACATTAAATATCAGCGATGAGTCTTTCAGCTTTTAGTGAATGTACAGAAACCTGCTCCACATACAGGAACACTGATGGTGTAAGGGCAGTGTCGGCTACTGTCAGCTCCACAGGGGTTCAGGAAGTACAGCAGGTCACCTACTCGCTGGAAGGTTGCTGGTTCAATCCCCATCTACTCCAGTCTGCAAACATCGTTGGGCAGGAAACTTAGCCGAAGCACTTGGATAGAAAAAAAGTGCTCGTGTGATTGAGGCGAGTTGTATAAAGTACAACAGAACGATTCCTCTCTGTGACCTAAAGACGAGGATAAACTCCCTCTAAGGCAAAGCGCGTGATTGGTCCAGCACCACCATGCTGCTTGGTGCAGGAGGATCTCCTGCTGCTATCAGCGGGTCATACCAGTTGGCTCTGCACTCAACATCTGCAGATTTGGATTTTGGACTTTGTTTCTTCTTCTTCTTTTCTTTTTTAAAATCAGGAACACCTGAAATGTTGCATCCTTTGGTTTTCAATCATTCTGTGCTCGAGGCTCACCTGAGACGCCCTAAATCCTCACTGCGTTCATCAGGGCGGCGCTGTGCCACCAATGAGCCAACAGCATCACACAGCGTCACATGATCATCACCATCCTCTGTGGGCGTATCTGTGAAAGATCAGCCAGAAGTGCAAAGCAGTCACGATCTGTTAGCCAAACAGCAAACACCCGTCGCTTCACGCACTCAGCGTGCGCAGAGGTGACCTTCCTCTGAGGGAGGGACGACCTCACTGAGGCCGTTCTCCCTCTGACTGTTGAAGGTTACGCCTCCCGTCTCAAACGCACTCCTCTGCCCCGTGGTTTCTCCTCCATCACAACCCAACATGCTCTCAGCTCTTTATTATTAATGCTCCTCATTAATAAACAGCCATCATGGGCGGTTGCACCACGTCAACTGCTGCACACATACGAATAAATAAACGATGTACTGTAGTCTGCAAAGACAAACAGCATCAAAGCAGGTGGAGCCGCTGCAGGCGACTCTGACTCACCTTAATCTGCCTCTGAAGACGTCGCTTCATCTTTTTGCCTCAGAGCAAATAGCCGGAGACCGACCGGTCGTAGCCGGAGGGCTTCCATTTCCCAAACCTGTCAAAAGGCATTTTCCTAAATTAGAACAATACTATCATTAATTTACAGCTGGATCTGCCGTGCTCCTCAGGCTCTCGCTTAAAAGGTTGTTAATATGAAACAAAAGCTCTTCTGTCGTCTGCATCCACCAAACATTCGACCACAAAGCAGGATTGTTTTTGTGACTACTGGAGTCCCTTTTCCTTTAGCTCATAGCACCAGGTGCTGTTTCTACCTGCTCGGGGTCCCAAAATGTGACGCCAACAGACTGAAGGCCACCGATTGGCTGTAAGTGGCGCCACTTGAGTCCTTAGAGCATCTCATGAAAACCAAAACTGCCATTTTTGAAACCCGGGAATGAGAATGGGACACCTGGGAATGACAAGCCACAGACAGCAGCAGGTGCATCATCGCCTCCACCTTTGTTGTAGCGTTTGTGTCGCATAATTACATCACGGACGCTCAGCCCTGTTGCCATAACGACGAGTACCATTAGGCGGTTTTAATGGAAAACCAGTCGAATCAAGTTGAGCCGTGGCGAGTCGATACTCCTGCTGTGTAAGCATGCTTTCACTGTCAGGCTCTCTGTGGCCCCACAGTGAGGACATCTGTGGGCTCATTGACTACAACCTTCTGCTCCATTGTCCCAGCTTGGACAAATAACAAGCAGTGGACCAAGAACATTAAAGCTCTCCTCAATGACAAGAAGAGGGCTTTCAGAGAGGAGGTGAGAATGGTTCAGGGGTCTCTGAGGGGCAAGATCAGGGAGGACAGCTACAGGAGAAACTTCAGCAGAGCAGCACGAGAGAGGATGAAGACCATCACTGGATTCATGCCAGCCAGCAGCAGAGGAGCTGTGGGCGCTGAGGACAGAGCTGAAGAGTTTTTCAGGTAATGCTCACCCCTCCTACCTGTAGTCAGCCTTCAGTCCACAGCCACTCCACTCTCTCTCCACTCGGCACCGTCGCCTCCTGTGAACGTCCAAACAGAGGGTGTTGCGGCTCCTCCAACCTATGGTCGCGGCAGGCTAAACATGAGGGCACAGATGACGCGCAACAATAAACGCATAAAATACACTTCTGTACATTTGCTCCTTTTATTCCAACTGTCCAATATATAAATCAGCACATGGGATTAACTATTAAACAAATGCACAGACCACAAACAAATAACTGCACTAACTACTATGCCAAATTACAACGTTGGTCTATGGCATCAATTAGTGCACAAATATACAAAAACCATCAAGCTCCAGTCAAAATACATCAAAATCATTCAAGCTGTGCTCAACAGGAAGTTCTGCCTCATGCTCACGCTCACCTTTCTGCTCACCAACATCAGGTGCTGTGAACAGGTGAGTGCAACCACATTTATCATCTACCACACCCATGACACGCCCCACACCCGTGCACCAACACAGTGAGTCCATTTAAACCAACCCAACCTCCTACAGAGGGTCCCAGTGCTGTGGAGGACGTCACACCTCGTTCCTGTACCAAAGACGCCGCGTCCCAGTGGCCCCTGTGGCCCTGACTCGCCATCGTCTACCTGCTCGAGCGCGTGACAGCGATGCAGGTGGATCCTCTCTGATGTCCTGGATCACTGATCACCTGACGGAGAGACCAGGATATGTGTATCTTCAACACTGTGTGTCCAGTTTTGTGTAACTACAGGGATGTTTATATATTTTTAATGTATTATTTAATTGATGCTTTAATTTGGTCGTTGCTGTTCTTCCTGTCCTGCAGCGATGACATCATTTCCTCTGGGATTAATAAATATTTTGATTCTGACATTAACTGATAATAAGATTCTTCACTGCATCTTTTAAAAGCAAAGAAGTGCGAGCGTGTGTCCTGGTACCTTTGAGCCTCTTTGGTTCGTCTAACTGTGACGTGGTTGAAGCTGCTCCGCCCATGCTGACCTGTCCCACATTAACCACAGCGAGCTGCTTAGACTCTTTCACAGATGTGCTTTCTGTATATGATAATCCACTTTTGCAGCTAAGCAGGATATATTTATTATAAAGGGCTCAGTGTGCCGCACAGTAAAATTACCCTGAGTGTCCCAGAACTGCATGTTTTTACTGTGGAAATCATCCTGTGTGGAGAACAGGATTCACAGAGAGGAACGCAGGGCTGTGATTTATGGGTAATGAGCAAAGAGGCTCTCTGGGTCACAGAGCACATGACCCACAGTTACTGTGGTCTCACTGGTTTGTTAGCAGCACCAGGAGCTCTGAGATAGATCTGAGTTATTCTCGCCTGATGCAAAGACACCAGATATTCATTCGTACTGGATGATTTTGCATCAGTCACAGGAAAGATCTTTCTCTAGAACTAACTGGACAAGATGAAAACAATTTCATGACTGTTACGCCCCCCCCACCACCCCCCACCATGGTGGTGGCAATTGCAGGAAGGAGACACCGGACAACCACAATCAATGAAGGAGGAGGACAACAGGACAGTTAAGAATCAGGATTTATTGGAGTCTATAAG